CGCACCAACACGGTTACTCAGCCTCCAATCCCTGTAACCTCCCTCCGAATCTCGGCAAAGTATACGAGGAGGGCGGTTCGCATTATTGGATAATCACACATTCACCTCTCACCATTGCCTGGCCACAGTGTGCCCGAGTCTGATGCCCACCTCTTCTGTAAGGAGGAGTGTTGCTTGTGCCCAGGATGCTGCAGTGAGTCAGGGAGCTGGCATTGGACATTGAAGCTGTGGGTGAGCAGTTGACTCTCCCCATGCCCAGGCTGTCCTGCCCATTGTAGGAACAGAGCTGCTGAACCACAGCTACAGTAATGTTGGAGGAGTTCCTAGATGGCAGAAAGAGAAAACAACACACAAACTGTACTGAATGCAAACACACCACATACAGCATTGAACTGAAGCTCGAAAGCAATTTTAGTTGTCTCAGACAGTCCTTGTGCCCTCCCGCTCCCTCTCGCTTGGCCAGTGGTTGCTGAGCGCTCCTGTATATCTTACCAATTGCTTCTCTTTCTGCCTCAGCTTCTCTTCCATCTGTAGTTTGTCTTCTTTCAGCAGTGAGTTCCTTTCTTGAAGATCAGCGATTTTATCCAGCAGACGGCATACCTGCTCCAGATACTTGTTGCTGGGAACCTTTGAGGCTGATCCTTCCCCTCTGGCCTAAGAGACAGGGAGAGAGTGAGGGAGAGAGAGAGACAATGTGTGAATGAGAGAGAGAGAGAGAGAGAGACAGAGGGACACAGAGAGAGAGTGTGAGAGAGAGAGAGAGTGAGAGAGAGAGAGAGTGAGAGACAGAGAGAGAGAGAAAGTGAGAGATAGAGAGAGAAAGTGAGAGAAAGTGAGAGACAGAGAGAGTGAGAGAGAGTGTGAGAGAGAGGACAAATCCAAGTAGATAGTCACGAGCCTATCTGCAGCTAGGTCCAACTAACAAAATTACTCAACTTGCATTCCCAGATAAACCTGTTGTTTTCCAAGCCTCAATATCAATACCCAGCCAGAAAACAACAGGTAAAACTGAGACCGTAGGCAGTGACAGAAACAAAATACTCCCAGCATTTCACACAGGGACCAAAGACACTGAGTGACAAACAATTACAGGAAATGGAGGATTCGCTCACTCACAGTCACAGACACTGTCACATAGCTTCCTACAAATTAAACTTACATCAGGTCATTCTACCTGCTATTGTTTCTGTCTAAAGAGTCCAGTGGAATGATCCAGAAAGAGCTGGGGGTCTTTAATGCTTCCATTGCTGACCATGAAGCAATCAGATTGTTGTCTAAACCCGCCTGCTTTCCTAGTGCCTGCAGCCTTTCCTGCACAGCTCCAAAAAGCCGGGCAGTGGAGGATGGGGCTGGAGCTTCATCATTACACACTTGGAGAGTTTATTCACAAAGACAGGTATTACAAACACGCATCTCCAAACTCGATGATCACTGTTTCAGTCTGTTCCTAACACACCATGAGTGACTCCCCAGACACTGCCATCTGTAGGGACTGGAACAAGGTCAGTCAGGCCGACCTCATGGAATCTGCGTTCCCTTACTGGAGCTGTTAATCTGGGCCAATCAGGGAGCCCTGGCTGACTGACAGAAACAGCAATGTTAGAGATTCTGCTCACTCTAGGAGTTGGCTCTGAACTAGCTAGGTCAGTGTCATGGACAATGCATGTGTGAATAAAAGGTAACTTGGTGATGGGATACCAGCCTTCACAGAGTTAAATCACCCACCGTGTGCAAACAAGAAAACATTCGACTGCTATTCAATCATCACTTGCCCCATCTGATCTATATGTGAGGCCAGTGCCATAGCAATGACTCTTATCCTGCCAAATAAAAACCGAAAGAACTGTGGATGCTGTAAATCAGGAACAAAAACAGAAGTTCCTGGAAAAGCTCAGCAGGTCCGGCAGCAACTGTGAAGAAAAAAAAGGTCAGAGTTAACATTTCGAGTCCGGTGACCCTTCCTCAGAACCCTTATCCTGCCACTGAAATAGCTGAGGAAGTCACTGGGCTGTAGTCAAAAAGGCAGCTCAGCAAGACAGAGTGATTGAGGGGGAGTAACCGTTGGCCTGACACATCTCCAGAATGAATGTGTTGGGGACACAAACACTGACATACAGCACTGATCTACCGAGATACTGGCCCCTGCACACACTGTGACATACCAAACTGCAATGGAGTGATGAAGTCTTAACACAGAGTGCTGTGGGACACACTCTGTTAGACAAGGTGCCATGTGAAATTCCTGAGATTTCTCCTGGGTTGAGGTAGCGTCTCTGGAATGTGAACCATGCAAGTTGGGATCAGATAACATTCCACAGCCTTACAGAATTCCTTACCGAGGGATCATTGCACCCTGTTTGAGACAGTTGGATTAGGCAGAGCTCCAGCAATCCGTGATCAAAATGTTATGCAGCTGGTTTGAGCAGGGGGTCACTCTCAGACAGTGTTTGGTTTCAGGGCTCTCCGCACTCCCTCTTTGGCAAAACTTGGAAGAAGAGTAAGTGAAAAATGCTGGACCAAATATTTATCCCTCAGTCAACATGTCAGAAAAAAGACCGATGGTGTGTTCAATTTCACACTGCTCTTTCTGGGATCTTGCTGTGCGTGAACTGGCCTCTCTATTTCCTGTATTAGGGATTGCACTCAAAAATACTTCAGTTCTGAGATCCTTCAAGACATTGGGAACCCACTGATGGTGCTTCGGAAATGTATGTTTCTGTCGTCCACCCAAAAAGCGTTCATCACGGTTCAGGTTCTGACCTTGAAGAATTGCAAAGGGGGGAGATTGGAGTTGGTTTTCTACAGCGTGTGAGTGTCAGGCAAGGGGTTAGATAGAAATCCTTTCTCTCACCCAGTGGTGGAATATTGTTGTTCTCCCTGCCCTGGCTGTAACAACTTTGTGCTGGGTCTTAGCAGTCATCTCCACTCAGCACCCAAACTCCTAACACTGTCATTGGCAGTTCACTGCTGCAGGAAGCAGAGGTGGAGGGAGATCTGGTCCAGCTCAACTTTCTCAGCTCAGTTCCTTCTGGCTCCTGTGACTATACTGATTCTGAACTCGCCATTCGGGACTGCCCGAAGGAATGTCCCATTCGCTGTGACCCTCGCCTGCTCAGCCCCTCATCCATCTCAATTCAACTGCTCCCATACTCAGATGCCCGCTCTATTTTCACACCAAGCCCTGCACCTCCCCATCACTTGCTAAGCCCAGCCATCTACTGCTAGGCCAGTGCCCCCTCCATCTTTCAACATTGTTACCTGTGCCACTTACCTGGAGGTGACAATTGATGCTGTTGGTGCCTAGGGTCCTCTGAAGGGGGTAATGAGACCCTGGCACTGCCCCCTTACTGTAGCTGGTCAGTGCAGGTTGTGACTGGGCCAGGGGCCGCAGTAAGAGGAGCGAGTGTCGGTGGCCGGCTCGGCCAGGCGCAGGCTCCCAGGGTTGATGTGCCTCTCCCTGTTTCCGTGGTAATGTTCTCTGCAGCACTCGCTGCAGGTTCGGATGGACTGACTCCAGAGGGAGCAGGGGCCTGTTCCGGGCACACCCCTCTGAGTCTCGGCCCCTCTCCAGCTCCAACTGGTCACAAGTGGCCATGGGATCCTGGGGGATTTACCACAGACTGGCAGGTACTGTCTGGAACCTGAGCTCCACTCCAAACTCTTCTAACTGAGACTTGGCAGTGAACTAAAGTCTCTGACAGATCACTTCCCTCCAATCCGCTCTAGACATCCATCAGGCTGAAGGTTGACATGGTCTCCCCAGGGTTCTCCCACCCAACAGTCCTCCTCCAAAAAAATCCGAACAGCAGGCAGCAGGCTGTCGATATGTACAGCTCCAATCAAATGCTCCGTCCTGGAGTCACTGCAAACTGAGAATGTAAATTCCTCCAGGCTGTTTGGGATTCTTTGAGAAGGAAGGGTCACACCCACAGCATCTGCTGCTGGACGAGAAACACACCCTCTTGAGCTGGTCACACAATCATCGCTTCTTGCACAGCCAGGGGATTCAAAAGACTGAGGTTTAACTTCAGGGATGGACAGGGTGAGGGAGAACGTGTACGTACGGGACAGAGAGAGAAAGGGGTTGGGGCTGACAAAAACCAGAATGAAGAAGATATGAGGGACTGAGAGAAACAATAACACAGGGCACGGCCCATCTGTGAGAGAGAAGCAGTCAGAGTAAAAACACAAGCAAGGAGAGATTGCTCCAGAAAGCTAGAAAGAGAAAAGATTAAACAGAGTTAGACAGAGAGAGAGAAAGAAAACAAACTACAAGAAAAGGCCCAATGAAGATGTGAAGGAAGAGACAGGGAAACTGAAAAAGGAGATAATGAGTGATATTCTGGTGATGGCAGAGAGAGAGAGAGAGAGAGAGAGAGAGAGAGAGAAAGCAGAGAATAGGATTAAATGATCATTCTCAGCTTGTGACCAGTGAGCTACTGTAAGGATTAGACTGGGAACCAGTCCCTATCCCAATCGATACCAGAACTCAACTGGAATGTGAGTCATGAGGAGGATGCAAACCACCTTCAGGGGATTGAGACTAACTGAGTGAGAGAGCCAGATCAGGGCAGATGGGTCTTGGTCTGTGTATATATGGGGAAGGAATTTAAAATTATTGAATCCCTCCAGTGCAGAAGGAGGCCATCGTGTCTGCACTAACCCTCTGGAGCATCCCACCCAATCCCTGTAACCCTGAGTTTCCTACAACTAACCCACCCAGCCTGCAAATCCCTGGACGCTACAGGACAATTCCCCATGGCCAATCCACCCCAGCCTGCACATGTTTGGAATATGGGGGGAAAACAGAACACCCAGAGGGAACCCACGGAGATACAGGGAGACCATGAAACTCTGCCCAGTCACTCAAAGCTGGAATCGAACCCGGGTTCCTAGTGCTGTGAGGCAGCAGTGCTAACTACTAATGTTGAAATCGTCAAAGTTTTAGAGCTAATACAGTGTGGAGCTGGAGGAACACAATGGGTCAGGCAGCATCAAAGGAGCAGGAGAGTCGACATTTCGGGCCTAGACTCTTCATCAGGACTGGTGATGCTGACTCCAGCATCTGCAGTTCTTGCTATCTCAAAGTTTTAGAGCTGTAGCTTACTTAAGACAGAAAGTTCCTGGTATGTGAATGGGAATGTGTTTTCATTAGGAGAGCTTTACAAGAGGACAATATAAGACCATCAGCCTGTTTTCAGTTGGAAAGATCAGGATTGAATTTTCTTCGGTTGGGGGAAACACCCAAAGTTTGGAAGGTTTTTGTTTTGTTACAGAAATCCTGGCTGAAGTTGGATGCGTGATATAGTTTCTCCTCAAGACATTATTTAGTTCAGAGAATTTAGGAAATAGGATACCCCAGTGTAAGGGGTGTGAGTGTGAAATTTCCAGACCAGAGTGTTTGGTTAGATCGCAAAATCGGTATTTGAAGCTCAAAGTCTAGGCTTGATTATACAAACACTCAGGGAAGCAATCAATGTTTGTCAGTCACCTTTGATATGAACTTGCTTCCAACATGTGGTCATATCTGAAGCAGCAATGCTCATGTTCTCACTTACAGCATCAGAATCTGGCTGTGGATATCATGATATTGAAGACTCCAACATTCATTAGAGCTCTATTGTACACAAACATGACATTCCTTGAGCAACTAGTGACCTGGTGAACCACAAATTAGTGAGTGACCAACATCCGATAGAATGTCATGCTTTGTGTGGTCTGAGATAAGATGGGGTCTGAGATTATGAGACCCTCATGTTACATGCTCTCTCAGGCGTATTAACCTCGAGACACGATGCAACAACACTGAAGCATACAGGCATGAAGCTGGCTTTGTAGAGCTTGCTGTGTATTCTTCACCTTCTGTACAGGTTCCAGTCAGGCTGTGCTGTGATCTCACCATTTTCACTTCCAGTACAGCAAACAGCTCACCTGACAGAATGGAATGACCGTGTGGAATGCGAAACCTGCTTTGAAAGGCAATGGAGCTAATCTCAGCTGATTACACCATCCAGCAGCAGACAATGGGCTATAGTAACTACAAATACATTCATCATCCAGACATTCAGTCTCTTTAAATCAGCTCTGTAATTACGTACAGCTTGACGGTGAATCCCCATCATTACAGGTGTCTCAACTTGCATCCCAGCCACTCAATGATCTGCAAAGCATTTGCCGCATTGTTGGAATTTCCTCTTTGTTGAATGTTTGTACCCAGACTGCGCTGAGGGTGGGACAGCAGGATACAAAATTCACCTCCATCAAAGTGAGAATTACTACCATGGCCACTGTCAAGGTTTTAAGGGAGCATCTGAGGGCCAGAATGAGAAAAAAAAAAATCCAGGGATGGGGGGAATAAAGTCTGAGAGAGAGAGAGAGAGAGAGAGAGTGTGTGAGTGTGAGTGCGTGACTATGGACAGATGGGGAAAGAGAGAGAGCGTGAGTGCGTGTGCACGAGTGAGAAGAGTGAGTATGGGACAGTGAGTGTATGCAACTAGACAGTTGATGTGAGTGAGAGAGCATGAATGTGTGAGTGAGTGTGAGAGTGTGTGAAAACTGTGTGTGTGGGTGTGTGTGTGTGAGAGAGAGAGAGAGAGAGAGAGAGGACTGAAACTTGTAATATGCTCATTCTGACTCTCATGAGCAGTGGGTGAAGTCAGAAGTCACACAGACTGATTTGGAATCACCAGCTTTCAGAGCGCTACTCCTCCATCAGGTGAAAAAGAGCAGTGGGTGGCGAACTAATCCAGGTCGTGCTTCATTTCCACGGTGTTGGTCCTCCTCCTCCTCTCCCAACCTGCTCACCAGCAATGAGCCTTACGGGAGTGCCTACCATGGCCGACTTTCTGACATCGCTGATATTACATTCAGAGTGGGGAGGGTGGAAAGAGCAGATGAAGGTAACGAGAGGGAATCAGATACAAACACCTTCAGGCCCTCTCACTCAGGAAGCCTACAGCAAAACCTCTGGACTTGGTGTCTGTGTAGACATTGGAGGACAGACTCCAACATCAGAGCCTGAGCACAAGCTTTTCCTGTAACAGGAGCCCAACTGCAAAAACCCACTGAGTTGCTCACACTGGGACTCAGGTTGCCATGGAGATGGTAAATATTCATGGCACGACATGAGGATCACGATTCCTTCATTTCACTGGGTAAAAATCCCAGAATTCCCTCCCTAAGGGCAGTGTGGGTCACCGCACAGCATGTGGACTGCAATGGTTCAAGAAGGCAGCTCACCCCCACCTTCTCAAGGGGCAACTAGGGATGGGCAATAAATGCTGGGCCCAGCCAGCGACTCCCACATGCCACAAGTGCAGAAGGAAAAAGTACCCTGCAGTCCCACAAAATGCTGAGGCTGGTAGGGGCCTGACTATGGCACCAGCTGCTGGCGCTGGACTCCAACTGAGGAGACCAGGTAGGAACTATTACTGTGAAACATTTAGGGCAAGTTTGGCCAGTCCCATCCCTGGGACGAAGGGGTGGTAGTGTGATGAAAGGCCGAGTACAAGGGCCTGTGCTGTCTGCAGTTTAGAAAAACGTGAGGCAATCTTAGAGACAGATCTCCCTCACTGAAGCTTGATACAGTGAACACAACACACACACACACACACAGACGATATGCAGGTAGGGTCTCAGTTAGATGGAGATGAAGAGAAATCCCAGCAATTAAAACAGGAGCCTTCAGAATTCTCAAACCATAGCTGCGTGCACGGTTACAGAGTACGTGGATCACAAAAAAGGCATCAGGCAGAAAAGTGAATGAACGTCAAAGATTAGCCGTGATCTTATTGAATGGTGGTACAGATTTAGGGAAGAGAATGGCCTGCTCCCGCCTTGTGTTTCTCTAACTGTTTTCTTATTGAGCCTGCATCCAGTGAGTCTTTCCTCCGGAAGGATTGGCTGGATTCATTTCTGAGAATGAAACAGAGCTCAGGGTATTTGAGAAAGCCCAAACTTTCCACTATCTCACTGTTTCTCTCAGAGGCACATGTTCCAATTACACCATGATAAGTCCATGCTCAGGAATATGGGCCCCATACCACAGTGAGCTGCCAGAGCTGAGGGAGTAGTCCTATCAGACAGGGCGGACCACCCCCGTGTCCGAAGACCCACTCTGGAAGTTCGAATGCTTCACCAAGGCTGGTCCTGCCAGCACACTGTAGGAGTGTGGCACCTCTTGCAGGGCAGCATTCCTGGCAAAGGCACAAGAAAGGTCCCAGGCACCTGGGGTGCAGGATCCATCTCCCAGGGATGACTGGGAGGATAGGGGAATTAAAGGCTGGGTGCAGATTATCTGGGAACAATTGCATTGTTGTCTGTGGGATCTTGCTGTGTGAAATTAGCTGCTCTGATTCCTCAGTAACAGCAGTGGAAAGGCCCAAGTGAACGCACATTTCCCTTCCAAACGAAAAGATGACAATGTCCACAGTCTGCAAGGAAACAATTACGTTACAATGGTTAACGTAGAGAGTCCCAAACAATCCAGGTCGAAGATTCAGGAAACCTGTAGCCTTCACACTGCTGCTTGGCCGAGGTCAGAGATTAATCCACAAAATACCATCATTCTTTTATTAAATCAGTGGGTATTTAACAAAAGGGGATTTGCAGTGGTCATCTGGTGGGTTACAGAGCTCAGCTCAAGAGCTGCCCTCTGCTTCCTGGAACCGTTTCTGAGCGTGTTTCTCACAGTACATCTGATCACGAAACCAGAAATGGCCTCTCATACCGAGGTTGAGACCGCAGTCAGTGCAGACATAACACTGCTGGTGCCGGTAACAGCCATCTCGAATCTTCACCGCCTCCATCCTGTGACATGACAGAAATGACAGCAATGACAGGATCCAAAACCGCCAGCCCTCAGTCCCTCCCCCCACAAAACACCTTCCCTGGCTCACCCCATACAGGGATCGATCCCAGGCTGTGGGGACAGAGTGGGATTCAGGGAGAGACACACAGACAGGGAGAGACACACAGACAGGGTCAATGTCAGAGAGCGAGAGTGAGCCCTGCGTGTGGGAGCAATGGGGTCCAAAGCTGGTGCATTATGGAATCGAATTCAGAATAGGCAGCGTCTTTCCGAGAGATGTTACTCCCTGAGCCCATTTAGCTTGGCTTTCTGTGCAGCCACCTCCTGCGGCCCATTTCACCTCCAGCTGAGTACATCCCTCAGACCACACTGACTAATACTCACATAATGTTTGATCCACATTTCTCACACATACGATACTTGGGCACTGGTGTGTTTGGGGCCAAGGGAGAGAATCTTCCAGGGAACTGAACTGCTGCTCCTGGTGGGGGGTAGGGGAGAAGGAGAAAAAGAGATTCTGTCACACACAGCATCCAGATTTCCTCCCTCTCCTGCTACACTATCCGTCTTGTTCTCCCCTGCTCCTGCACCCTCTCTCGTCTTTCCCACACTATCCTCCTAACATCCCAAAAACCTCCTACCCCACGCCCAGCTGAGCCAAGCCCCTCCCCTCACCATCCTGGTCTGCATCTAGCGCCTCTTGAAGCTGACGGAAACGGTTCGACTGTCGAGGAGGTTCCTTCGCAGCTCGATTCTCCTGGATCATCTTGTAAACCTCCGAGTCTTTGTCGATTCGATTTGGGGAACGACGGTCTGACACCCTGGGAGCAGTGAGACAAATGGGGTCGTGGACAGAAATAAGTCAAAAGGACAATACACAGCCACCCCACCCCACCGCCCGCCCGAGCACCGCGCACCACCCACCCAAGCACCGCCCACCCTATCCCATCCCACTGCCCACCCGGGCACCACTTGCCTGGGAGGGGCGGGGGAGGGGGATCAGTTTGATAAACTCCTGTGGATCGAGCAGCAACACAAACAGCTGCAATGATGTGGCGATGTCAGCAATGGACTGGCGAGGACAAAAATCAGAAATCACACGACATCAGGTTACCGCCCGACAGGTTTATTTAAAATCACAGGCTTTCGCAGCGCTGCTCCTTCATTACCCTCTGAAAGCTGGTGATCTTAAATCAACCTGCTGTCTGATAACCTAGTGACTTCTGAGAAAATATAGTTACAGATTCAGACAGGGTAACAGGATTAAAAGCTCGAATCATAAATTGCAACTTGCATTCCTACAGCGCATTCGATAGCGACACTGCAGCTGGAGTATTGTGTTCAGTTGTAGGCACCATGTTGTAGGAACAATGTGTACACATTGGAGAGAGTGCAGAAGCAATTTACAAGAATGGTTCCAGGAATGAGAAACATCAGTGATGTTGAAGAAATTGAGACTATTCTCCTTGCACAGAAGCAACCTGAGAGGAGGTTTGAGTGTGAGCTGGACCATGTAGACAGAGAGAAGCTGTTGCCACTTGTAAAAGGAACAAGAACAAAAGGGGTTGTAAGAACTGCTGATATGGGATTCTGAGATAACACAGCGTGGAGCTGGAGGAACACAGCAGGACAGGCAGCATCAGAGGAGCAGGAAAGCTGATGAACAAATGGGGCACAGATTTAAAGCTACGTGCAAACAAAGCAAGGGTGATGTGAGAAAAAAAAAACCTTTTCACACGGCAAGTAGTTAGGGTGTGGGATGCACTGCCTGGAAGTGTGATGGAGGCAGGTTCAACTGAGAGGCATTTAAGAGGGCACTGGATGGTTACTTGTACAGAAACGGTGAGCAGGGAAATGGGGAAAAGGCAAGAGAATTGCAAAGTGTCACGATGCCCATTTGGAGAGCCAGCGCAGACCTGATGAGCTGAATGGCCTGCTCCTATATTGTAACACACGTGAGAAGACACTTCACAGGAACACGAAGCAACAGTTCATGTTTGACATTAACCACATTAAGACAGATGAGCAAATGCTCAGAAGGAAGTCAGCTTTCTGAAAGAGCGAGGGATCGAACCAGAGAGCAAAGGGCCCAAGTAACTGAAAGTACAGCCACTGACAGGAGAGGGAATACTGCTGGTGATGTCCTGTCCCCACACTGTGATCTGAACCTGCCTCGTATATATCGCTGACCAGCTGTGAGAAAAGTCTTTCTTTGGCTGTGCAATGTCCTGAGGTGGTGAAAGGTGCTGTTGAAATGCTAGTCCTTATGTAAACGGTGTGTGAGACCTGCAGACACACTGACACATACCCTTTGCTCAGAGCAGCGGAACTGGGAGAGTGTGATCCTTCAGTCTGATGCCTCACCTCTGAGGGACTCGAGTCTGTGGACAGGCTCACCCTGGGTACAGAGCAGGAACTGGAGATGGGAGAAAGGCTTTTGTGGCCCCTGATTCCTCCCTGGAATCCCTGAAAAAAACAGAGGAAGCAAGAGTCAAGACACCAAAGCATCAAACCTACTGGGTGGAAGAGGAGAAAGGCCCTTCAGCCCCTCAGGACACTGGGTGAGGGAATATCCTCCACACAGATGGGCCTCACTGCTCAGGAAATTCCTTTTACCTACATGGGCTCACTGCCCCCTCACTGTTTGCAGTAGCTCAGCACCAGACAGACATCCCAAGAGTCAGCAGGAGTCACAGTGATACAGCATAAATCCCGCCCCATCCAGCACAACACATACACACACGCACACACACAGCCACCCTCTCCCTCTCAGACGCGCACACACAGACAGACACCCAGGATATGTGTCTCTCCCAGCAGTTTTGGGATCACTCACCTTTGGCACCGTATTTCCCCGAAATGCTGCCTCCTTCTCTTCCGAGCTCCAAACTGGGGATACAGACCTGGAACAAAAAAAAAAGAGAGAGAATTCAATCAAATGTTCAGCACCATTCGCAGCTCCTTAGATACTGAAGTATTGAAGGGTATCGGGAGCCTTGGTTTTCTTCATATATATTCCTGATCCAGATCATGGCACGTCGGGGACAATTTCAAAAAGTTTGAAGGTGACTTGAAACTTGGAAGCGTTATAAACTTTGAGGACAGCGTGGGAATCCAGAAGGACATTGACAGGTTGGAGGAGGGGAGGGGGGGGGACAGTGGCAGATGAGGTTCATTGCAGAGATGTCGGTGGTGATGCACTTTGGTCAGATGAACATTGAAAGCTAATAGAACTGTACCCTCTATTTCATGAAGGAGCAGAGGAACCAGGGTATGTATGTGCACAGACCATTGAAGGGGGCAGATGAAGACAACAGTAAATAAAGCAGACAGTGTTCCTGGTTTTCTTGATAGGGGCATACAGTACATGTTCAACTTGCACAAGACAGGGGACAGACCCCTCACCTAGAGGGAGCAGGCACATTCAAGTTCAAGTACAATTTCCCCCCCTGCCCCCAGAAGCTTTGACCAACTTGGACCATTTTCTCGTTTCCATTTAGAAGTGGACTCACCTCCTGTTAGTGATCGGAGAGACGGATTTCCCATCAGGTGCAAGAGAGAGGGATCGCATAGGCGAAAGGTTTGGGGATCGTGGATTGCAGCCTGCACTCCACCCTCTCTCTACAAGATTCTTATTCTCGTCCCTGAGCGGTTGTAGGACAGTCTTGGAAAAGCAAAGAGGAAAAGGGAAAATTAGTCCACTTTCCTGAAACATGGACCTCCACAGCCTCAAGAACATGCAATTCAATATCTCCATGATAATATTCTAACAGTCTACACAGTCAATGTCAAAACACATTCCCTTTCATAAACACAGGCAATAAGAGTCAATTCGCTCACAGTACTGCAGTGCTCCATCCAGTGCGGCGCTCCCTCAGCACTGGCCCTCCGACAGTGCGCCGCTCCCGTATTACTGAGGTGATATTTGGATCCTCAGTGTAGTAATAATGGGATAGAATGGGAAGGGGGACCGAGGTAGCTCAGTAATAATCTTGCTGAATGAAGAGAAAAACCCCAACTGCTAAGGAGCTTCTTCCTGCTCCTGATGTTCCAGCTGAAAGTGTGGGCTCAATCCCAGGACAGTACTGTCAGCTACGATGCACCAGTGTTAAGAGATTCCCGAGAGGTAGACGGTTGCTTTTGTACTGTCCCTCCCTCTGAGCCAGGAGACGTGGGCTCATGTTCCACCTGTGCCAAAGGTGTGTAGTAACATCCCTGTACAGGTTGATTCGAAAATACCTGAACACAGGGGAGCGAGAGCGGAGGGAAGAGCGAGAGCGGAGGGAAGAGCGAGAGCGGAGGGAAGAGCGAGAGCGGAGGGAAGAGCGAGAGCGGAGGGAAGAGCGAGAGCGGAGGGAAGAGCGAGA